AAATCAAAGCATTTCAAAATATTTAAATAAAGGAAATATGAAATAATGAAAATTTTTGCTCAATTTGTTTGTAAACAATTTATTATTCAATATTGTTACATTTTGCCCTGGACAAAATAAATCATACACTTTTAGAAGTAATAATTAACAAACAAATAAAATTAATTCTAATGGTGCTTAGTACTTGGTGTGGCCACCTTTAACTTTTAATACCGCTTTCAGTCGGCGAGGCATACTCTCGACTAATTTCTTCAAGTATTCAGGATCAATTTCCTTCCAGGCCTTCTGGAGTGCTGCATACGATGTCTTGTCAGTTACATTCGTTTTATCCACGTTCCTGTCCAAATAAGCCTACAGATTTTCAATGGGATTTAAATCTGGTGATTGTGACGGCCATTCGAGCAGTTTTACTTTATTAGATTTAAAAAAGACAGTGGTTTTCTTCGTCTTATGCTTTGGACCATTATCTTGCTGGAAGATAAAGTTGTTTTCTAAATCCAATTTCAAAAGAGATTCTTCCAAATTCTCGCACAATATATCGATATATCCTTCTGCTGTCATAATGTCTTCAATTCGAGCCAAATTACCAATACCAGACTAGGCAAAGCACCTCTATACCATGATATTACCGCCTCCATGTTTTACAGTCTTCTGAATATTTACTTCTTTGAGGGCGTCGCCAGGTTTTCGCCACACTCTATACCGCCGTTTTTGTCCGAATAACTCAAACTTGCTCTCATCAGACCACAATACCTTTTTCCAAAAGTCTAGAGGCATATTCGCGTATTTCTTGGCAAACTCGAATCGCTTTTTCTTATTTATTTTATTTGTTACGTCCTAACCTGGAGGGAAAAGGCGGAGTCAGGCATACGGACGGACGCAACAATAAAAGTATGAATTTGTGGTCTTTGCTCGCTGGTCGGTATGAAGGGAGGCGACCGCGCGAGCCGAACGATTTTCTTTGGCTGAGAACAGGTAAACGATCGTAAGGATCGATATTACGCTGCTAGAGACCTCAACCGATCGTTCGTAGTTCCCTTTTCTGGTCAAGAGACTTAACTCCCTTTACCAAGAACGGAACCTGCGTGCAATTTTCAAAGGGGAGAAGGGAGGTATTCCTTCTGAGGGAGATAAAAAAGGTTATCGGGAGATTAATGGATAGATTACTCGAATGACATGTTTATCGTTTCGTCGGTTTTTCTGTCGACGAAAATTCAAAATCTAATATCGCGATCGCGTGTCTTATCATAATCTCTTCAAGTATTTACGTAAGGCCTCGAAAGTTTGTTTTTTCTGCGGTTATCTCGCTTGGAATTCAGTCCTATCTGGATACTTTTTTCCAACGGCTTTAGATTAGATGGCACGGTGCGTGCTTATTTCGACAAATTTTCGGTTGAAGAGCCTGAGAGATTATAGTACATTCGGGATTTTTCTTAAATCATTAAAATGATATTTTCGTAACGTTTCTTTGAATTTTTTTGACTGGTCATAAGAAACTTGCGTAAGGGAAAGGTCCGTGCAGGACGAAGGACGTAACATATTAATGAAAGGACGCTTTTCAGTCCAGATTCCCTAAGTCTGCGACGCACAGTGCAATTGCTGATAGTCAGGTTCATCGATTCTACAATGTTTCGCGATGATAGCTTCGGATTTTGTTTTACCATTCGAACGATTCTGGTATCATCACGAAAAGTTGTAGCCCACTTTCGACCTTTTCCGGAATAGTTTGTCACAATCCTATGTGTTTCGTATTTTTTCCAAATGTGCTGCACTGCTCCAACAGAGATCGAGTATGTATTAGCAATTATCCTAAAAGAATCGCCATTCTGTCGGTCGCGAATGACTAAATTTCGGATATCGAGAGAAATTTGCTTCCGTGACATTGTTCTTGCTCGTCACAGTTACTACTGATTCACCGAACACGTAAATTCTAGTCGTAGATATAATGCAAACAAACAGTAGAATGACGAACAGCAGCAAAACAATGAAATGTGGATATTGATTCCCTACGTTATACTATTTAAGTGTATGATTTATTTTGTCCAGGGCAAAACGTAACAATATTGAATAATAAATTGTTTACAAACAAATTGAGCAAAATTTTTATTATTTTATATTTTTTTTATTTAAATACTTTGAAATGCTTTGATTTTCCTGTATGTAATAATCTATTTGCTTGTTAAAAAAATTGTTACACTAACAAATTCAATTTGTTGAAAGGTGTATGATTTATTTTGTCCAGTACTGTATGTGGTATATTCATGGAAGAAATGGCTTAAACTATATTCGAGCCGTTATCTGTGGAAAATGCTGTGACAGATGATCGAGAAATATTCCATTCCTCTAATGCGTTTGTCAGACCCTCTTTTAAATTTAGAGCCGTATGATCAATATCTAACAAAGTGCAATTTAGGCAAGCGCTCATTAATTTTCATTTTTCTGTTATAAAGTGTGCCGTAAGTGAGAAATAAGGACTTTTTGCTTCCAGCAATCAGTTGCAAAAGAAATGTCTTTTGCGTTTTTCATAATATTCATGATAATCGTTTTAGTCTTCTCCCAGTGAGCATTATGTTATCAAAAAGAGCTCTTCAAGTACTCAGATTTGAGAGTTAGACATCCAACAACACCATCTTGAAGATAACATAATGATATCAATAAGCCCTCTAATGCGTCACTTTTAGAGGAAAAAAGAGATCACATAAATGACATCTAAAAGAATATTAAAATCTGACTTCTTCTAAATATCAAGAAAATGTTAACATTAAGAATTGTTATTAATAGCACTATTTTTATGTATTTTATTATATGAAAAGGAACACAATGTTACATACAATACATTATATAACTTTTTTATTATAAATGTAGAATCTATATAGAAACATTTCAGAAATTATGTTGTATGGTACATTTGAGTAATACAAAAATTAATTTTTTCCTTTATGTGTTTTACATACAAAATAAAACATATAATATATGATCCTTACATATAAAATAATAAAATATAAAAAGTTATAAAAGTAATATTAAAATTTTATTTTTATATATATAATACTTTTTCGTAATTATTTATTTGTGTAATTACTATATTGCACATGTGAAAAATAAAATTATCATGACAATAAAATGCATATATAGAATATTTCAATACCACTTTTTTATAATTTATCAAAACTAAATAAAACAAAAAAATCTATAATTTTTTCTCAAACATTTCATTTCTTTTTTTCATGTCGTTTTGTATTTTGATTTATCCTATCTTCAGTATGCTGTAGCCAGTTTTTAATTACAGTTTGGATGGAATGGGAAGAAATACTCTTTCCACTAATACTGATGTTTACTTCTGAAAAAATTCTGTTAATGAATTTTATATAATAAAAAGTTAAAATTATAAATTATTATAAAATTATTAAAATTATAAATTTTTATTTTTATTATATATTTACTATTTTCTAAAAAGATATTCAGAATATATTATATAAAAAATATATTCAGAATATATATTTCAGTATATTATACTCAGAAATTATTAATTAAGAAACGTAAAAATAAATAAATTAATTAACTAATTCTTGAACGTTAAAAATATGTAGTAAATAGATGAAAAAAATTTAATTGGAAATAATAATCTCTATAATAATAATAATGATTAAAATATTATGGAAAAATTACAACAAAAATATGTTATTAACTATTTCTTTTTTACATTTTATTAGATTACAGTACACAAAGTATCCAAAAAGTGACACAATTGGTGTGTAGTGGATGTCGGACGATAGAATTTAAATTTTAAAAAACTTGAGTTTTTTTTTACAATATTTAATAAAGGAGATGTTATTAATCATAGTTTAGCTAATCTGCGCAACTCTTTAGATGGATATTA